CGATCTCTTAAGCAGACACATGTCCACATCTCACGAATGGGAACTGGATCATCGGACATGCGACCGGCTGTTCCAGCAATGGGGTCTCCCAGACATAGACTTACTTGCCACCCAGCAAAACAGGGTATGCGAGACTTTTTGCTCAAGAGCAGGAATCGGACAGGGGTCATCTGGGGATGCCTTTATGATCCCTTGGAACGATATGCTCTTTTACGCTTTCCCTCTGATTCCCCTCATTATGAGAGTAATATCAAATACAATCCATGACAGGGCCACAGGACTGCTGATAACTCCATGGTGGCCTCGCCAAGCATGGTTTTTGACACTTCTTCACATTTCTCGAGAGGAATACCTCCAACTACCTCCCATTCATTATCTGATAAAGCAGCGGGAGGGCACAATTTGCCACCCAAATCTAGCATCAGTGAAATTGACGGCCTGGTGAATTCGATAGCAGTCAGCGTCAACTCGGTACCGATGTCATCTGCAGTTTCTACGGATCCTGTCCCCGGATCCGGCATGCTATTCCATGCTTTGAATCCACCTACCTTCCCTACGTCTTTGGATCTGACGAATGTTCTATCGGATTCGCCAGTTTTTCACCTGGACATCACCGTATTCTCGAGTCTGCGCTAAGACCATCCACTCGAAAATCATACGTGGCTATGTGGCGTCAGTTCTCTATTTTCACTGAATCTCGCTCGATTTCGCCAAACTCTGCATCCATAGATCATATTCTCCAGTTCCTTTTAGAACTCCACCATTCTGGACTTAAGCCATCCTCTGTAAGAGTGTACATGGCAGCAATTTCCTATTACCGTGGTACAGTTCAAGTTTCCTCCATTTTTTCTTAACCACCGATAGAGATTTCTTAAAGGACTCCATAACCTCCATCCGATGGTCAGACCGCTTATACCTACTTGGAGTCTTTCAGAGGTACTACAAGCGCTAACAAGACCTCCTTTTGAACCCTTGGCAACAATCAATTTATGCCTCGCTTCTTGGAAAACTGCATTCCTTGTAGCAGTTACATCAGCCCGGAGAGCTAGTGAGCTCTGTGCCCTCAGGGTAGACCCTCCATATTTGAACTTCCATAGGGAGAAAGTAGTTCTACGGATGGATCTATCTTTTCTTCCAAAAGTGGCTACCTCCTTTCACATGGGCCAGGAGATTGTCTTGCCTGCCTTTTTTCCATGTCCTTCGAATCCGATTGAGAGATCCTTACACACTCTCGACATACGGCATTGCCTAGCCTTCTATAGATCGAGGACTGAGTCTATTCGACATTCCAATAAGCTCTTCATTAAGTACTCTGAGCAAAATCAAGGTTTTCCAGTTACTCCTCAGAGACTTTCCAAGTGGATAGTCCACACTATTATTCTCTCCTATCAGTTGGTCAAGATAGATTTACCTACAATTTCAAGTGGTCATTCGACTAGAGCTGTAGCTGCTTCTTTAGCTTTTGTGTCAGGAGTTCCGATTGACGATGTCTGCAGAGCTGCCACTTGGGCCACTCCATGTACATTCGCGAAGCATTATAGACTGGATGTCCATGCTAGACAGGACTGTTCCTTTGGCAGAGCTGTTCTTTCAACTATTCTTCGTTGATGACACCTTCCTCTTCCAGTCAGGGTAAGCTTGCTACTCTACCCATATGTGTGATGCACAGAGGCCACAACGAAGAAAAGCAGGTTGCTTACCTGTAACTGGTGTTCTTCGAGTGGCCATCTGTGCAGTCACACAACCCACCCGCCGGCCCCGCTTGGTGTCCTTGAGTGGTATTGTTTTGGTATCGTGCTATTCTTGTCCTCGGTACCTACACAATATTTTTTCTTCTTGCTGTTGATATTGAAGAAACCTTTTTTTCCTTAGTTACAATTTATTCTTTAGAGAGCAAACGTTCGGTCTGTCAAAGACTGGAAAATGGCGGACACTCCGCTCCATAAATACTGTTAGGTGGGGAGGGGAGCGGAGTTTCCTGCCAAATCGTTAGCTATCAATCTTCCGGCCAAAGGCACTGCACAGGCACAGTACCCATACGTGTGACTGCACAGATGGCCACCTGAAGAGCATCAGTTACAGGTAAGCAACCTGCTTTTTTTCTGGACCCACGTGAGCTTCCTCTGTTATCTTCTACACTTTTTTCTTGATGGAATTGTTTGTAGTTGTGCTTGAAGAATCTTCCATAGGAGGTGGTTGAGGCCCCATCGGTGAGGGTTTTCAAGGATAGACTAGACATGCACATGGTAGGCATGTCATGAGCAGAGCCGGCTGGAGCCAGGGGGTCAGACTAGATGGCCCAGGAGGCACCTTCTGACTCGCTCAGTTTCTATGTTTCTAATCTTCTTTTTCAAGATTTCCCACCCCTCTTGGACTCCTTTTCCCTTAAGAGTGAGTTGCCATGGCACTTCACTTATCATTGTTCTGAGTTTGTTAAAGTTGACTTTCTTGAAGTACAACTTTAACAAACAGATGGTTGGCTGCACTTAACCTTTGTCTCCTTCATAACTGAGAATTCGAGTATTGCATGATCACTTTCCCCCAGAGTTCCCATGGCTGATATTTGGCCCACGAGGCCATTCCTGTTAGTACTAAATTGAGGATAGCTGATCTTCTCGTTCCTTCCTCTACCTTCTCCTGAAGGACATTTTTGGCATAGCATGGCAGAAAACTTCTGGCCCCTTCCAACTATTTTGTGATTCTATCAAGCATGCCTCCTTCAAGAGATTCCCGATATGTTGCTGACAACTTCCTCCAATAGAAAGTGGAAGAAAGACCAGAAAATGCTTATTCTTTACTTGATACCAACCAACAGGGAAGATCTAGTGGACAAAGTGGCACCTATGGAAACTCCAGGGGAAAGTGACCCTGCCATACATAAAAAGGAAACAAAAGCCAAATATCGCCAGACGTGTACCGTGGGTTTTAGGAAAGCCAATTTTACTACACTCAGAATAGTCACAAGTGCCAAGGCAAGCAGCTCTGATGAGAAAGGGAGTGCATTTTTTTAAAGGATGCTTTAAAGGGACAATTACAAATGATTCCAACCAGAAAAGGATAGAAGACAGAAGAAACTTGAGTGGTTTCACAAAAAGTTTAGAGATGAACTGAAAACAAAAAAGAAAATTTATAGGAAGTGGAAGAAATGCCAGGCTACAAAGGAAGACTAAAGGCAGGTTGTATGGAAGGGAGAAGCAGACGAGCTGAAAAAGGTTCAGATGGGGACGACAAGGATGATCTGGAGCAGGTGTCCTCAAACTTTTTCAGCAGGGGGCCAGATGAAAGGGGCCGGTGATGGGTGCAGGCTGCCAAGGTGGTGTGGCCGGGGGGGCGGGGAGCGTGTGGTGAGGAAGGGGCGTGCGTGCACAGTGATCGTTTTCTCCAAGCGAGTCCAAAACGATCTTTTTGCGAGCAAGCTGGTGCCTCGCCACGTGCATGCGCATGCCCGCACACGCGGCAAGTCCAAAACCTCTATGGCAGGCCAGATAAATGGGCATGGTGGGCCGGATCTGGCCTACAGGCTGTAGTTTGAGGACCCATGATCTGGAAACTGGAAGCAAAGCCCTATGAGGAGAGATTGAAAGATTTGAGCATCTTTGCTTTGCTTTGCTTTGTTTTTTTGTTTATAATGCCCAGACAGCCAAAATTCCCGAGGTGGTTCTGAAAGCATTTTGCCTTGAGAAGAGAAGACTGAGGGGAGATATGATAGCACTCTACAAGTGCTTAGAAGGTTGCCACAAAGAGAAAGGCCAGGATGTCCTCTCAATCATTTCAGAGTGCAGGGCATGGCATAACATGCTAAAGTTACAGGAAGCCAGGTTCTGGCCAAACATCAGGAAAATTTTCCTGACTGTTTTCCTGATTTTTCCTGCAGTGCAGCAATGGAACCAATCACCTTGGAAGGGTGTGGAGTCTCCCACACTAGGGACATTCAGGATGCAGCTGGAGAGCCATGTGAGAGGGATGGTTTAACTCGGAGTCCTGCACTGAGCAGGGGTTGGACTTGATCACCCTCTGACCCCTTCCAACTCTACTATTCTGTGATTCAGTGATTTCATACTGGCCAATCAAAATTGTAGAAAGCAGGTTTAAGTTGCCAGAGAAGATAGAAGGAACCAACATCTTCTTTCTGTTTCCAGGTCTAAGGTCTAAGGGAATGGTGTAAAGGAAAGGAAGTGGGCCTTGCATTATCATCTCTGTCCACATCTCGGGGACAGATTTTCAATTTTTCACTGGTCTATATGAGAGGAAGACAGGATTGTTGGTGATTGTCTTTAACAAAAGACCCCACTGAGGTCATAGAGCTAGTCAAGTAGGCTTAAATTGCCCTGGAACTGTAGATTTGTCCCTTTCTCTGGGGGAAAATGTGGTTATTTTATCCTTCTCATTCAAATCTTGATATAGCAGTGGGGGTTAAGAGCTTTAAAAGTGTTTTATGAAGGAAAGGTTAAAGAGTTGACATAAACTGGAGTGTTTCCTTCCATCTGACTTACATAAGTAGATTAAAAACCAACATACTTGCTGGGAACTTTTATGACTGTTAGCAAAATGGAATGATGGGAGATGCAGGCCAGAACATCTGGAGGGCCATGAGTTGCCCACACCTGCCCTAAAGCAAGACCTGCAGTATGCAAGAGATACCAGGCCAGGAGTAGAGGAAATCTGGAGATGGGCCTCCCAGAAAGGTCACGAGCAGTTCTCTTTAGGACATGACTTGGATCTTTGCAATGGAGGAGCAGCCTCCTGTGCTTTTTCCAAGATGAACAGTCTCTCTCTTTCCAAATGCAATTATCTTTCCTCAGAACAATAGAGGTAAGTACTATTGTTTTGCATGTTTCAGCTATGTCCTCTTTCCACCTTTCAGTTACTCATTTCACCATTCTGTAATTCCTAGTAAGATCAAGTCCCTTGCTGGTCCTTCAGCTTTCCACAATTTGCTCCTCCCATAAGTTCATGAGGATGGGCCTTGAATTCCCATTCTTCTGCTTTTTCTCTTCCAGAATAGCCTGCCAGGAGGTATCTCGTGCTTGTGAGTTTTTGGTCTCCAAACAGATGGAGGATGGTGGTTGGGGAGAGGACTTCACATCTTGTATACAGCGTAGATACATTCAGAGTACCACATCACAGATCCACAACACCTGCTGGGTCCTTCTGGGCCTCATGGCTGTTAGGTAAGAACTTCTGGCAGGAAGTGGCACTCACTTTTTATTACCACCCTGTGTTGATGGCCCCTGGTCCCTGCATGGTGTAGGAGGTTAACTGCAGCTGCCACTCTTTTTGCTGGTGGCCTTTCATGAATGTGTTGATTATCTAGCAATTGCAAGATAATCTTGCAAGCTGTGGTCTGGTAGAGGCCAGCAGCAAGCGTACCTACATAGCAACTTCCTAGATAGGTGCTGTAGCCGGTAACATGGGGCCTCTCAGGAAAAGGCAGGTCAGCCTTTTCTCCTAGAACTCATTTGTACTCAGATGCATAGGCAGCCTTTAGCAACTCCAGGCTAAAGTAGGGCTGGGCAAATTTGAGTTCTGGAGTTATATTGATCCTTGAGTCTCCCCCACCCCTGCCCACTGGACCTAGTTGATCCAAAATATCATTTTTAGTGTTTTTATGGGGGGGAAGTGTTTTAATGGAGTGCTGAAAGGTTAAATTTAGTTTAGTTGCAAGGTACAGAGCTTAAAAGAGTCAAATTTAGTTTGCAAACAAGCTGATTTTGACCTTCTGGCACTCCATAGTGCTATGGATGCCATTTTTCACCTTTAAAGCTTTTTGATGGAGGAGTGGGGGCTGCATGTGGTCCATGTCCCTTGTGTTGCTCACTTCTAAAGTAAACGGTCACACTTGAGCAGCCTGGCCCAGGAAAAGTTGACCATCACCAACCACAATTAAATCTGTTGTTCTCTAGGTTGCCCAATTTTCACTAATCCCATATAGCTCTTTGTTAGCCATCTCTGGTAGATGAGATCTACCAAAGATGCATCACTGCATCCAGTAAGCCGAGCCCTCTAAGAATGCCCTTAGCCTCTTCTTTTGCTTGCTTGTTTGTTCTGGGACTCGTTGACAAGCCTCTGACTGAGATATTAGCTTATACAATTTTATCTCCCATCATGAAATAGTGCAGCAGTCAGAAAAAACTTTCTGAGTTTGGAAATTACCTCCATCGCTTCTCTGCTTCCCTCTTTATCCCCTCCCTGAACCTACCTTAGCAATGCATACATGTCAGAACAATTCCTTTTGTCATGCAGATATCCAGATGTGAGAGTCTTGGAGAGAGGGATCAGTGTTTTGATTGACAAACAACTACCTAATGGGGACTGGCCTCAGGTAAGCAAAATATTCTTTAGCAAATTGCATGTTCCATGAGCAGCTTGCATGTCCTTACAAATTGCAACATTGCCAATCCACTCCATTCACATGCATTTATTTTAGAATCCTTCTCCCACCCTCCGTGCAAGTGTGGCAGAAAAGGCAAGTTTTTTCAGGTGCCTAAAACTCAACCGAGCAGGTGCCTGATGAATCTTTGATGGTAATGCATTCCATACTTGGGGTACCACCACAGTAAAAGCCCCCCTCCTGGCAACCTTCCCCTTAACCTCCCTAGGGAGAGGTACTTGTAGGAGGGCCTGCATTGATGGCCTTAAATGACAGGCAGGAATCTATGGAGTAAGGCACTTCCTAAGATGGTCCCAAGCTCTTTAGGGATTTATATGTCATAGTCAAGACCTTGAATTCAGCCTGGACTGGCACAGGCACCCAGTGCAGCAGATGAAGGAGAGATGGAACATGTTCTTAAGAACTGGTCCTGATTAGCAACCCTACTGCCCTGTTCTGGATCATTTTAAGAGTCCGGACTGTTTTCAAGGGAAGGCCCATGTATAGTGCATTGCAGTAGTCCAATCTGGAGGTTACCAGTGTGTCCAAGTAGGAGCATAGTCGGCAAAGCAGCTGAAGTTGATAAAAGGCGCTCCTGGCAATTGAATCCTTGAGTCCACCTGGCTAACCAAGGAGAGCTCATGGTCCTGGAGCACTCCCAGACTATGAACCTTGTCCTTTAGGGGAGTGCAACCCCATCCAGGACAGGTTTACAATCTCACAGTTGAAATGGAGGTTATTAGGATGGAGCTTGAGCTTATTGGCCTTCATCCAATGCATTACTAAGTCCAGACGCTGGTTAAGGGTAGAGACTGCAACATCTGCATAGAGCTGCATATTGATAACACTTCAGCTCAACCTCCTGATGACTTCTCCCAGTGGTTTCATGTAGATGTTATAGAGCATGGGGGATAAAATCAGACCCTCTGGCATTCCATGACATAATTTGCCATGGTGCAGATCAATAATCCCCCAGTATGACCATCTGGAGATAGTCCTCCAGGTAGGAGTGGAGCCAGTGCAATGTGGTGCCTCCACCTCTCAGCCCAACTAGCCATTCCAGAAGGATGCCATGGTCAATGGTATCAAAAGCCGTTGAGAAGTGCAGGAAAATCAACAGCGTCACACTCACTCTTGCTCTCTCCTGGCAAAGGTGGTCCCACAGTCTCAGTCCCAAAGCCAGACCTGAAACCCAATTGAAATGGATCAAGATAATCCATTTCCTCCAAGGGACTGAGAATAATGCTTCAACATGGATCATGAACATGTGTTGCCCTGCCATGGGCAGTAAGTATTTTTGGGATTCCCAGAAAGTGGTATACTAACTCCAGGTTTACTAAGGAGATTATTTACTATTGCAATAATGTCCAAATGCTAGCTAGGCTTCCATTACATTTAGCAGTAAGCCTCTTACACAGTGGGGACCCCGCAAGGTAGGACTCCAGTCAGCTGGATTCAGATAGAAACAGCAGAATCCCACTTGAAAACAGTTTGAACCAGAGCTCAAAGGAAGTGGCTTGCTTTGTAGATGACAGACTTAGGGTATTGTAGTGCAAGTATACGGCATTCTACACAATTAAAAGACAAGATTACTGGAATAGTTTTGATGCTACTATTTACACACTAGCTAAGAAACGATGAAGTACAGTGAGGGGTATTCCTGTCTGGATGGCCAAGGTGGCAGCTCTTTCTGAACATCAAAGCAAGGGCTCAGGACTGCCTCTTGCTTGCAGAAGTGATGACTGATAAGGAACATCCAAGGCTGCAGTGTGCAGGAAACTTCCTTGGTTTCATGAGAGCAGGGTCAGACGAACTCTGACTAAAGCTCTACTTGTACTATTGTAAGCAAGTAGACTTTTATGCCAAGCAAAGCAAGCATTTTAAAGAGCTAGAGACCCAGGCCCGGCCTTTTAGGGTTCAGGCCTGCTACAGAGCAGCAGTAGTAGGAAAGCCGACGTCATAGGACAGCATAGCGAATTGCACAGAAAAGATGACTGAGCAATTTTGGATTGTGCCTGTTCTCTTGCCCTGCAGGGGAACACTGCTGGAGTATTCAACAAGACCTGTGCCATCAGCTACACCTCCTACCGAAATGTCTTCCCTATCTGGGCCCTGGGACGCTTTTCTCATCTTTATCCTGGCAGTCCTGTGGCTAGCAAGCTCTCAACCGAGGCATTAAGAAATGGAGAGAAGGGACTGCCTGGGGACATGTCAAATGGACTGAGATTGCCACTCGCCTCTTTCTAAATTTGGAGCTTGTAACCAACATGACAGACATGAACTGCCAGTCTCTCTGAGCTGTTTTATACCTTTCTAAACTGCTGAGCTATTTAGGAAAGACTGGAAGACTAAGTCTCAAGGAACCAGTAAGGAGAGCAAATAGATGGAAAGCTCCTCCAGATTGTCATCCTCTTAGTTCTTGCTTTATTCATAAAAGCTTAACCAAGGCATAGTGTTGGCTTGCAGACATACAGACCGTGAGCTAGCTAACTTCCATTCCTGTGTGCACACGTCACTGATGCTTGTTTGCTAGAGTTACAGCATGCTTCGGGCAAGTGTAATCCTGCTGCTTCGCTTAGGTTGGTTCTACATGAGGTGTCAGCGAAGAAGGACAACTTTTAGAATAATTGATGTGAATAAACAAAGACCATTATCATGAATTATGTGATTTTTTCCCCTGTACTTCTGAAGAGTAAGGACTGTAATGTATGTATATATCAGTGTTAGTGTCATAACCATAAACTCCCAGGCCACAATGGGCTTTGAGGGCATGGGCTATGGGGCAGGCTAGAATTCTGGAAGAAGGATCTAGCACAGGGGTCATCAAACTTTTTCAACCGGGGACCCGTTGAAAGGTGGCAGCGGTGAGTGCAGGCTGGCAAGGCAGTGCTGGCTGGGGGGGGGGGGGGCACAGGCCAGTGAGAGGGCAGGGGGCACGCGCGCAGCGAGGGGGTCCAGAACGATCTCCGAGCAAGCAAGCCGGCGCCTCGCTGCGTGCACATGCACACACGGGCCTGGCAAGTCCAAAACCTCGAAGGTGGGCAGGATAAATGGGCATGGCGGGCCGCATGCGGCCCGTGGGCCGCAGTTTGAAGACCCATGATCTAGTATTCTGGGCCAGCTGATGTGAGATAAGAATGAATGCTGGAATTCTTGAAGAAAAAGGTCCGACATCTCCCCTCCCCCCAGCCCTTAAAGAGATCAGCCAAAACAACCCTGCAAGGAGGATGACCCATCATCCTGGAAAAACATAGAAAAAAGTGAGTCAGAAGGATCCCCAAGGTCATCTAGTTCAACCCCAGGTGCCGCTCAAGTAATTCCCAACATGTCGTCTGATCTTTCCTTAACTCTCTCACTGATGGGGCCTCCACCGCCTCCCTTGGAAGCCCATGACATCCAACCTGAAGCCTGATTCCTCAAGCTTTGCCCTATTGGACTGTTTCCTGCCCTCTTCTGCAGGGAAGAACAGGTCACAACCATCCTCCACATGACATCCCCTCACATACCTATAAGCCTCTAAAAGATTCTGATGGAGTTCCATTAATCTCTCCTCATATGTCATCCCCCGCAACCTGGCTACCATTCATGTGAAGCTGCACCCACCTGATTCTTATCTAGCTATGACTCTCCTATAATGTGGAGTCCATAACTGGATGCAGTACTTCAGTTGTGGGCACACCAGAGTTGTGTAGAGCAGCATCAACACCTCCCTAGATCTGGAAACCATGCTTCTGGCTATATATCCAAGGGTGGCATTTACCTTCTTAACTGCCATGACACACTACTGGTTCATGTTCAGTCTGCATTCGACAAGTACCCCAAGATCCTTTTCACAAGTGCTGCTCTCCAGCCATCCTGTACCTGTGACACCTATTCCTGTGTCCCCAGTGCAAGACCTTGAACTTATCCACATTGGGTGCCATCTTGTACCCCACCCACTTCCACAGCCTGTCCAGATCCTAGATCTGGATCACCTGGTCCTCGGTTGTGGCCTCCATTCTCACTTTGGTGTCATCCACAAATTTAGTCAGCAGACTGGTTATCCCCTCCTCCATGTCACTGATGAAAAGGTTGAACAGAATTAGTCCCAGAACTGAGCCCTCATTCCTTGGCTCATTCTTCTGATATTCCAAGTTGCCATCCGAAGTACCTTGTGCAGCTCTGACCCTTTCTTTTGCCATGGGCAGCATCAACATCTGAGGTCCCTGATGAGTTTGTCCCAGGTGTGTCATGAAAACCAGGGGTACTTGCAGAGGATCTTTGCTGTTCCCCAGTTGCATGTTGAGTGCCTCCTGGTCTGGGGGTCTCACCATTGAGCACCATATCAAAATCATTTGAGAACTGCTCCATAGGATTTTCTTGGCTAGTTTTTCCGAGGTGGGTCACCAGGCCTTTCCTCAACCCTCCCCATATCTCTGGGCTTGGGACCAGCACACACACACGTGATGACAAGTGTGCATGGCTGGGCTACATAACTATTATATAGCCCCACGTACGTATTAGTATACAACAGAACATAATGTTGTTATAAAAATGGTTATGCATATACTTCAACAAAGACACCTAAGGAAGTCTACTGGCTGGCATGCACAGAGCTGAAAATCAGAATGTGGGAAGTGTGAATCAAAGCAAACTGGAAACAATAAAGCATGACATGGAATGGCTAAACATTGCAGTGCTTGGTGTGAACAAACTGAAATGTCCTGAAATGGGATATTTTCAGTCAGACAAACACAAAAAGTTTACTCTGGAAATGACAAACTCAAAGAAATGAAATGGCTCTGGTAAGATGTAGCATTGGCAGTAAGAACCTATAATGCAAAATCCAACCAAACAGTATCGGTCAGCATTTGTAGAAAGCGTATCAACACAACCATAATTCAAGTCTATGCTCCAACAACAGATGGTGAAGAAGAAGATAATGAGAAAACGGGCTAGAGCGCAAGAGGAAATTGATAAACCAAAGCAAGACAGGGTGCTAATAATAGGTGACTGGAATGCAAAACTAGGAAGCAAAGCAGAATCAAATGACATATGAAAATTTGATCTAGGACTAAGAGATGAAGCAGGAGAGCAATCAATAAATTTTTGTGAAGCCAACTAACTGTTTATTGTAAAACCATATTTCAAGCAATCTATCAGATGGCTGTACACATGGACATCGCTGCTTGCCAGGCATGCTACTGCCGCCACCAAGATGGATCCACTCTGGCTGCTCCCCTCGCTATTTCCACCTCCTGGGACCATCTGCATGCTCACCCTGCCCCCCCCCCCCGCCACCGCCAGACATCTGTAAGGATGCTGGCACGGGGGGGAGGGGGTGGTACTCACAGGGGTGGGGTGGGGTGGGGGAGTTCTGCTGGTTTTATTTAAAAGAGGGAGACTGGGTCAATGTTTTTCTACTTCTTTTCTTCTTTTTTACTTCTACTTTTCTACTTTTCATGTTGCATGGAGTCAGAGACATGTGTAATTAGGCCCCATTTTAATCACACAGCATCCTAGCTTTATTGTTGTTTTATTTGCTGTTATGGGAGTTGCTGGGGAGCGGGTGGACATCCCCATTGGGAAGATATGGTGCTGGGGCTTTAACACGTCATTATGGAAGAAGGAGAGACAGATGGTTAGTACCTGTTCCCTCTTCTGATTTCTCCACAATCCAGAATGTCCCAGGTATCATCCAGCACTCAGGCTTGCTGATTGTTTGTTTGTTTGTTTTTGCATGCCATCCCCTTGCTGTATAGCCTCGGGACGACGTGGGACGGTGATGCTGCTTTTGAATGCCAGGTCAGTCCAAAACAAAACATCCGTGACTTAATTGTGGATGAGAGGGCTGACTTGGCATGTATTACTGAGACCTGGGCGGGAGAAGTGGGGTGGGGGGTGTCCCACTCACCCAGCTGAGCCCGCCTGGGTATTTGGTTTGGCACCAGCCTCACCTTGATGGAAGTGGAGGGGGGTTGGCCCTAATTTACTGAGATTCAATCCCCCTCACAGAGCTTCCTGTCCCTTCGAGACCAGGCCTGGAGTGTTTGCACCTGGTGCTCGGTGATCGAGACAGATTAGGGATTCTGTTGGTGTACCGTGCACCCTTCTGCCCAACAGACTCCCTGCCTGAACTGATGGAGATTGTCTTGGACCTGGTGTTGAGAGCCAGAAGGATGTTGGTCCTGGGGGACTACAATTTCCATGCCAAGGGTGTTCTGACCAGGGCAGCTCAGGGCTTCATGGTGGCCATGGCAGCTATGGAGCTGTTTCAACATGTCACTGGCCCAACACATAAAAGAGGTCACACTCTAGACCTGATTTTCTTGACGGGGCAGGAATATGGTGATCTGGAAGTGAAAGACATGACTCTAACTCCTTTGTCATGGTCAGATCACTTCCTTGTGAAGTTTGAACTCAGGGGTAGTTTCTCCCTCTGTAAGGGGGCAGAGCCTATTGAAATGGTCTGCTCCTGGAGTCTTATGGGTCCAGATGGATTCCTGCGGGCTCTGGGAGATTTTCTGGTTGATAGAGCTGGCGCTCGTGTTGATGCCCTGGTTGATTTGTGAAACAGCGATTGACATGATCACACCTAAGTGTCCTCTCCCATCATGCACAGCCTACATGGTACCTTGGTATATGCCTGAGTTGCAGGCAGTGAAGCAGGCTGGGAGATGACTAGAGCGTAGGTGGAGAAACCCTGTGACAAATCTTACTAAGCACATCTTAGAGCAAGCTATTGAATCTATCCTGTGGTGGTGAGGATGGCAAAGAAGGAATTCTGCTCCGCTACCATTGCATCATCATAGTGCCATCCAGCTGAGCTTTTTTGTGGGGTGCATGGTCTTACTACATTCTGGCCCTAAAAAGGATCCTATTACTCCATCCGTAGCTCACTGTGACAACTTTGCCCAACACTTCATGGATAAAATTGCTCAGATTTGCCACAAGCTGGACTCCACAGCTGATATGGTAAGAGAATATGAAGTGTCCAGAATGCCCTCTGGTCCATCTGTATTGGATGGGTTTCAATTGTGGTGGCCTGAGGATGTGGACAAGGTGCTTGGATTGGTCTGACCCACCACCTTGCTGCTTGACCCTTGTCCCTCATGGCTGCGCACTAACACCAAAAATGGGCTATGTACCTGGGTCCAGGAGGTCATCAACACCTCTCTGAGGGAAAGCCAGGTTCCTGCCCCTTTAAAGGAAGCGGTGATAAGGCCTGTCCTGAAGAAGGTATCTCTTGACTGAAACAAACTGCCTTGGTCGCTCTGTATGATGACCTGTGCAGGGAGAGGGACAGGGGAGTTCATCTCTGTTGGTTCTCCTGGACCTCTCAGCGGCTTTCGATACCATCGACCATGTTATCCTTCTGGATAGGCTGGCCTGGTTGCGAATTGGAGGCACTGCTTTGTGGTGGTTCCACTCCTACCTGTCTGGTCGTTTCCAGAAGGTGGTGTTGCAGGATTATGACTCTGCACCATGGCAACTTTGCCATGGAGTTCCACTGCGTTCCATTTTATCCCCCATGCCCTTTAACATCTACATGAAACTTCTGGGAGAGGTCATCTGGAGGTCTGGGCTGCGGAGTCATCAGTACGCTGATGACACCCAGCTCCCCCTCTCTTTTTCATCTAGTCCAGGTGAGGCAGTGGCTGTCCTTAACCAGTGCCTGGCTGAGGCAATGGGCTGGATGATGGCCAATAAATTGAGGCTTAATCCAGATAAGACGGAGGTCCTGTTGGTGGGGGGTTCAGCCCTACAGGTGAGTAACATCTGCCCTGTTCTGGACAAGGTTGCACTCCCCCTAAAGGACAGGGTGCACTGTGTGGGAGTGTTCCTCAACCCAGAGCTGGCCCTGGAGTCCCAGGTGGCAGTGGTGGTGAGGAGAGCTTTTTTGCAGTTTCGGCTGATTTAGCAACTGCGCCCTTGCCTGGATGAGCATTGCCTTGTAACAGTGACACATGATCTGGTAACTTCCCAGCTGGATTACTGTAATGCACTCTATGTGGGGCTGCCCTTGAAGATGGTCCAGATACTTCAGTTGGTACAGAATAGAGTGGCCAGGTTATTAAGGGGGACCAGCAGGAATTCACATAGAACACAAATCCTCTATCGCTTACACTGGCTACCAGTTGAAGTTGGGGCCCAATTTAAGGTGCTGGTGCAAAGCCCTAAACAGCTTGGTTCATGGGTACCTGAAGGAGCACTCTCTTCCCTATGTGCCCTCTGACCCCTTGAGATCTGAGGCGGAGGCCCTGCTCTGGGAGCCCTTCTTGAAGGAGATTAGGGGGGTGGGTACCTGGAGAAGGACCTTCTCTGCGTTGGCGCCACTTCTATGGAATATGCTCCCCAGAAAGGTTCACCTGACACCAATGCTTTTTTCTTTTTGGCAACAGACGAAAACCTTTTTATTTTCCCATTTTTTAAATTTTTAGCTTGTTTTACCTGGGACTTTTGTCTTGATTGCTAGATGCTGTGTTGTTTTGCTATTTTATTGTTTATTGTAAGCTGTCCCAAGACTTCAAAGTGGTATAAAAGTTTTAAATAAATAAATGAATGCTCTGTACTTGGGCTTGTTTGATTGGTTCCTTCAGTGGCCCTGAATAAAGACTTGGAGAAAATGTGCTGGGTATTTCTGCATAGTGAAGATTTCACTATCTTCATATATTTCATATTTCTTCTGTACTAAGCTGAGACACTGTTCTCAAGCAATGCAATTTGAACAAGTAACCTGATGCTCATCAGCAAAGATCTAAGTGTATGTGGACACTTACTGAGAGTTTAATTTACTATACAAGTAGCACCATGGATTCCACACAGAAAGGCCAGAGTCAGCCCCAATAAGTGATTTCAGTGGAATGTTCTGTTAAGAACTACTGACATCATAATGGTATAGAAATATTCTAAACTTGTTGAGTTTCCCATGAACTTTCAGAGCACTGAGACCAGTAGCCTGTCCAGCTAAGGCTGTCTCATACAAATTATTCCTTCCTTATCAATGAGGAAGAAGAAAATGGCCGAAGAGAGAGAGTGGATGAAAAGAATTCAAGAAGAAAATGCACACCTGAAAAACCAGATTCGGCTGCTCAAGGAAAACTATGAATTACGGGTATTGTTGGGTCAGCAGAGTGATAGTTGCAACCAGGTCCAGCTATTAACATCTCAGATTTTTCCAGCATATCCTGATGCTGACACACTAGTAAAAGGAGGTAAAGAACAAACTGTGCCAGCTTACTAAAAGCTTTTTAGTTCTCACGTGTATACTTGAATTTATATGCATAACTCACCCAGATCTGATCTGGTTGTCCTCTTTGTGCAGGACCCGCAGACCCTAATTGAATAGATAATTGAAACCTATATAGGCCCAAGCTCATCCAAATAAAAGTTGGCACTTTTTAGCAGACCAGAACTTTGGGAAGTGGGGGGGAGGGGGAGAGCTGGATGCAGGCCCAATCCATCCTTTATTTATTTATTGCATGTCACCCCATAGCCTGAGGGCTCTCTGAGTGGCTCACATCACAAACATTCAGGCATTTTTAATGCAAAATAAGAAAAAAATGTGTACCTTAGGAGGGTTTTATCATCTCAAGTTTAACTTATTTTCTTTACTTACTTTCCTGATATTATGAAAATGAAGCAAATGCAGGTCCTCTTTGCATGCAACACTTTTCAGACCAAAGTAGCGCCCTATCAGGCTAGGCTACTGATGTTCTAATGTGCTGCTGTTGCTGCTGTTTTAATGTGCTTCTGTATTCAAATCATGACTCTGCACATTTAATGTGGTTAAACAGTTTTATACACAGAGCAAGTATAACAAAACAAAAGTCTACACATATAAAAGCTTGTTGAGTTATGCTTCAACACACTTTGCACTATGCTTAAAATTGGCTTCAGTTTTTCTACAATGTGAGCTGAGTGTGAGACCTATTTAGTAGGATGGCACGAAACAGAGAATGTGAGAGTGCAGCCCGGCAGGCAGGCCCCTCATTCCCTTTAAAGGGCTAATGCTGGGAGAGACAATACGGGTGCTTGGACCTCTTGTGTCATTCCCCCTTGTCTGCTCATTCTTCCTTCTCCCCTGCTGCAGTTCTGAGGTAAGGCAGGAGTGCAAGTTATTTCAAGAGATGGGAGGAAGCTGAGTGAGGAGGCATAGTCCAGGAAGGGTTAGTGTGTGTGGTCAGGCCTGGCAACTCCTGCTGCATTGGCACTATTAAAGGTAAGATTAGTTTCGATGCTACAGAAAGATAGGTGGGAGTAGTAGGTATAATTGTGGGAGTGCCACCTTATCAAAATATAGAAGGAAATAAATCAGAAAACAAAACCTAAGATCTCATGATCTGCAAGGCAGCCTTAATAACAGAGGTGCTAGTGGGAGTCCATTAGAACTCCATTTTCTACATGGAAAAGCCATTGCAGCATCAGCACAAGATATTTACAAGCTGGCTGCTGGAGAGGTCCACACATCCACATCGAACATACACAAACATACAAGCCATGTGTTAACTATTGCCTTTAGCTCGTGATAGGGTTCCAAACCCGAATCCAGTTTCCTCTGACTAAAATGAGAAAGGGCCATTCTATTGTTTTGCATCTCCCACAATGCAGTTCTCTCCTAGAAATGTTTTCATACTGTTCAGATGGAATTATGTCCTGTGTAAAGTCCTTCTTGGTAGAGAAAAATCAATCTCCTTGTATTTACAATTGATGCTAAACGAGTAAGCATAAATGGTGGCCCAGTCTTTGTTCCCCTCCTCCCTCCTTCTGCAAAGGGAGTTTTTGCATGCTCCGTGAGATTTTGGTCAGGTTTTGGTTTGTTTTGGTCAGGTTACTAACCTATTGGGTGAAGCCTGTCTCCCAAATTGCAGTTTTGTTGCTACTGCACAATATGCCCATTTTCTCTTTGTGCTTTTGGCAAGGTAAGATCAGGACGTGTGTGGTACCGATATTCTTAGTACAGAATTTAGAATTTATAGTTGTGGTGCCACTGGTGCAGCTCACCTTAGGTTAGGATTCAAAATGTCCCAAAGCAGTACAATGAAGGCTGCAATCTAAACTCTGATTGGGAAATAAGCCATCTGGAACTTCAGTAGAAATGAAGATAACCATGCCAAAGACTGGGCTCTAACAGGCCACTAGCAGGAATGATGCTCTGAAGTGATCCTTAATGCAATCCCTGTCATTTTTTCAATAGACAGCTTCATAACAGGATCTTCGTTTCATATGGTTTTGTATCTGGAAATGCAAGGGGCTCCAGTCTTACACAAATAGATGGAGAACTCCCCTGAGTCTTGCCTGCCTGCCAGCTGGCTTGTGAATTGCAAATAGGGTCCAAGCCCCTGTTGTTTCAGGACACCAAGTTACACCATCCCACTCAGGTGGCTGTACAGTTTCTTTTTGAATGCCTCCAGCATGGGAGAGCCCACCACCTCTCTAGGCAGCTGCTTCCACTGTGCTATTGCTCTGACAGTGAGGAAGCTTTTCCTGATGTCCAGTCTGAATTTGGGTTGCCGCAACTTGAACTGATTATTCCATGTCCTACACTCTGGCATCAGCAAGAAGAGATCTTGACCTTCCTCTTTGTGACAGCCTTTGAGGTGCTTATAGAGGGATATCATCCCCCCACCAGCCTTCTGTTCTCAAGGCTGAACATGCCCAGTTCTCTCAGCATCTCCTCATAGGGCAGTTTTCCAAACCCTGGATCATTTTTGTTGCCCTCCTGTGCACCCTTTCTAATTTTCTGCATCTTTCTTAAATCTTGGTGCCCAGAACTGGACACAGTATTCCAGGTGAGGTCTGACTAGTGAGGAGTATAGAGGAACTACTACTTCTTGTGATTTGGAAGTAGTGCTTCTGTTAATGCATCCCAAAATAGCATTTGCCCCTTTGGCGCCTGCATCGCATCTCTGGCTCTTGTTTAGCCTATTGTCCACACTTACTCCAAGATCTTTTTCTTGTTCAGTTCTGTTGAGCCACGTATTCCCCATCTTGTATCAATGCATTGGTTCCTTTTTCCAAGGTGGAGGACTTGACATTTGTCCTTATTGAATATCATTCTGTTGCCTTCAGCCCAGTGTTCCAATTTTCCTTTTTGTTTTGTTTTTCTTTTTACAGCTAAGAAAAACAATAGAATTAACACATTAACAAAAACTGTAACTAAACATCACTGATCAAACAGCACATCAACATCAGTGCTACCTCCACCAGGACCAACAACTCCAATTACTTAATGTAAGATCATTCATTCATTCAGGTTGCCCTACTTCCCTTCCAGAACTGCACTGACACTTGTGGTGGTTCACACCCCTTTCCTTTTATTAAAACATATTCAATAAAAGGTCTCCAAATATTTTCAAATTTATTTCCACTTGTCAAAGCCCTTTTCCATTTAATATCACAAGTTAACTTCTCATTAACAGCAATGTTCCAGACTCCTCTATACCAGTCAACTATATGATATTCACCTTTTGTGTTGCAATTTCTTGCTATTATTAATCTCACTGCTTTTAATACATTTACCATCATTTCTTTAGTATTTTGTTCTATCTGTTCTCTAAATAATGACAATAATGCTAATCCAGGGTCAACTTCAATATTTAAATTCAATATTTTACCAATTTCTTTAAAAAAAAAACCTTCCCCAGAAGCATTGTGCTGAATCCAATTATGCTTAATTGGTGAAACTTTTACAGTCTGTAAACCAGTCTCTTTAATTTAAACTCTTTCCCCTGATTGTTTTCCAGCATAATCTCCATCTTAGTCCAACACAGTCACAGTCACTCCCCCACAATGAGACTTTTTCGATGAGAGTTTATAAATTGAATTTATTTACAGTCTATAAAACACAGAAAAATAGAACATAGAAACATAGAAACTGAGTGACTCAGAAGGGCTTTCCCGGGCCATCTAGTCTGACCCCTGGCTCCAGCCAGCTCCACTCATGACATGTGGAAGTATTTAATAACAATACCTTCCTATTAAACTCCTCTCCATTGGTGGTTTCCTTCTCCTTCAGATCCCATCTACAATCTTCTGCTATCTCCAGGATTTTCTTGTTATTTGTAACGAGGCAGTGGGAGCTTTCTTTTCAATGGCCTCTCGTGGCCATTGAACAGCCCATCCCCCCAGCCCAGCATTCAAGTTTATCAAGATCACCCTGGACCTTCATTCAGTCTTCTAGGGTGTTTGCTATTCCGCCCAGTTTTGTAACATCTGCATATTAGATTATCTTTCCTTGTACTTCCTCATCTAAATCATTAATAAAGCTGTTGAAGAGCACTGGGTCCAGGACTGAACCCTGTGGTGAGAGGATGAGAGCACAAATATGTCCACTCTCAAGGACATAAAAGAAGATGAAGAGTTTTAGACAGAGCAGTGGAGCAGTACAGAAGCAAGGAGCGCACAAGAAACCTGAGACAGAAGAGGAGGATCTTGTGGGAAGGGAAAATGAGGAGGAAACTCCTTGGATAAGGGTGACAGCTAGGTGCAGTAGAACTAGAAAACATTTCGCACTGGCGGAAGCGGTGGAACTCCAGAACCCCTTTCGGTTACTCAGGATGAGACTGGAGGGCAGCATGCTGAGGAAGAACTGCAAGTCATCCAGTGCAACACTGAGCTGGATGCTAAAGGTCAGCCATGTAGTGGCATTGCTACCAAGGCTTCCAAGAAGAGATGAATGGGGTGGCATAAAAATGTTTTAATAAATAGATAGATAGATAGATAGATAGATAGATAGATAAATGAGTGGGAGTAGTGGGATACTCCCTATTGCATGGGATGGAAACGCATGTATGTCATGAAGACCCATGGACTCCTCAGATATGCGGTTTTCCTGGAGGATAGATTAGAGGCATAACTGAAGGTTTGTCAAGTGACACGTATCCCTATGTGGGAGCAAATGGCACTGCCAAGTGGAACTTTGAATAAATCATGTCAGACTCTGAAGCTTTAGGAAGAAAGACAAGAACTTTGGGGCCCAGATGGTTTTCTCTTCAATCATTGGAAAAGGAATAGACAGGGAAAAAATACTCCAGGTGCATGAAGGTGCTGCTGACATTAAAGATTTGGATTCTGGGACCACAGGCTACACTTCCTGGAAGACAGGCTGCTGGCAAAGAATGGGCTGCACCTTACCAGGGCTGGAAAGAAGGTGTTTGGCCACAGCATGAAGAAGTTTATCAGGAGGGTTTTAAACTGAATCTTACAGGGGAGG